ATTGGCTTGAAGAGGAGGGGCAGTATATAATCACTGCAGTCAGTGAACATAATTTATACAATTCAAAATGACTGACGGTAAACTTTCCTTTTACAGCTCTGTTCTGTGATGTGGTAAATAGTGCCATGTTAAGGGTGCTTTAGAGACTTTCAGTCATATGCTTGTCTTCACACTATAGACATCCAAAGGAAATACATGCTTTAGCTGTCTTAACTTTCTGGATAGTCTCTCTTTTACCTAATTGTTAGCATGTTTAGGCTGTCCATCAAGGTTATAGCTGTGCCACATACCTTTGCATATATAATGTATAAATACTATCAAGAAAAATTTTACAATGGAACTTAAAAGTCTGTTCAAATTGCAGTTAAGTATTAAGTAAGGCATATGTTGTACATCTTGAGCATCTTCGCTCTGTAGCTGTCTGGAAATGCAAATGGATTTCACAGCAGAGCCTCATTTCTGACAGAGCTGAAGTTGCTGCTCCAGCCGTAGCTCGGCCGGCAGAGCCATCTGCTGTTACCTCAGGACAGCAGTACGGACCTTTCAGCCCCTGCTGCTTTCTGGCTGCCTCCAAGCACTTACTCAGAAGTGGCAGCAACCTTCATTGCTAGTGGAAGCACGATTTATCATGTAGATGCCTGCCATACTGAAATGGATGCTCACCCAACCCTCTTTCCAAAACTCAGGAGAGCTCTATGCGGGTGAAGGTAGTAACAGGGAATATTCACAAATCTACCCATCCATCATCCAGAAGTTTTGTGAGGTTTTATTTGCTATTGTAATAAAATCAGTGACAAATTAATATTCGTTATTTTGGCAGATTGGTTTTGAATCTGGGCGAGATTGACAGTGTGAAGAATCGCTGTCCCGAATGTTTGTGCTCTTCTCTTTCACGGTTGCATTCTCCTTGCACTATTTTTGTCTGACTGTGGCTCTTTGTTTGCCTACAGTAATTCCTTTGTATGACCTCATGGTTTGACAACACAGTGTTATTCTCATGAATCCTGTCAGTCCCAAAAAAGGTGCACTCATGTGACTGAGGGGCCGCTATTAACCACAGGAATACAGGAATTGCTAGAACCCAGTGGAACACCCCTCCACTTGTCCCTAATCCTCGCTCTGACTGCGACCAATGCTACAGGGTTTAAAGGAAACAAAAATGCTGTGCTGGTGTTTAGGTTGTCTATCCATATCTTCTATCGCTCCCTTTTCCAAAAAGAAAATAAGCAAAAGAACAGCCTGTGACTTTCTTCTCAACTGAGACTTCTCAGTGTTTTGAGAGCAACATGTAGTAGATTTTGTTGCTTCCTCACACAGTTTTTTGTGCAGTTGAAAATGCACTGGATTTACCCTGCAAGGTTCCTGTGAGCCCTGTCAAGGGTAGAGCTGAATGCATCTTTTATATCACAACTGTACAACGCTATATGACATAGTAGGAAAAGCTTGGCTTACTGATCATCAGTTTATGCCCTGAAGCATGAAAGTAGGTAGAATTTCTTGATAACAATAAAATAGTTCTGCGTGATTTGTTGTCACAGTTATGCTTTCGCAAATATAAACAAATCAGAATTCACTGAAAGCATCTAATCAAGTGTTGAAAACTTGAGAGTGAGTCCACAGCTTCTTGATTGCTAATTCTTGCAAATAAAAGGAACAGTAGATAAAGATGTAAATACTTATACTGAATCTCAAGCAGTCTTGCCTTTGGTGTTAATTAGTATGTGTAATTTTCGTGTAATTTCCTTCTTGGTAGTTTAATACAACCTTTGACTGAAGAACATCTCTTGCTACTTCTAGAAGATACTTCTTTTGTTAAAGCTAGGATTATTGCAAGTAGCTTACACGTATTTTTTAAAGTCATATTTTGGAAATTGTCATCTTTGTATAATCAAGATAATGCTGTAAATGCAGATAGGTACAATGGGGGAAACTAATTATTTTTATGTGTTAAATACCGTATGTAGATGTAAATCTGTTTTTACCTGCCAGTATATTGCATATATATGTATATATTTTTAAGGTCATCTCTGCAGTTAAATGGAAAGAAATGAGTTAAATCAGATTTTTCAGGATATATAAATAGCTGAACTAGACTGGTTATCTTCCAGTGCTGACCCTGTGCAACCAGAGGATATTGATGGGAATAGCTACACTCACTTCATCCTCCTGGATAATCCTCCCTACAGTACTCCAGGGGAAAGCAAGTAAACAACTAGAAGTAAATAACCCCAAGTTTTGATACCTGATGGAGAATCCCAGCCCGCGGTTGTGTTTTAGAACAAATTCTGACCTGTCTAGGTTTGAACTCTTAATTTCTGTAGTAAAGAAGTTGGTTTCAAAATCTTACTCATTTGCAGCGTAAGTCTTCTGTCACTGTGATTTCAACTCATATAAGAGGCGGGGGGTTGGGGGGGGGAATACTAGCTATTTAAAGACTAGTCACCTGTCTTCAACGTATTATCCTTAGGTGGCCAGGTCTACATATATACATGTAAATATCAGCCCTACTGACTATATCCACCCTGTGTATATCTGCCTTGCCAACATAAATTTGGTTTTTTGAGGATTTTTTGTAGCTTTTCAATGGTAAGAAGTTCAACCCTATGCATATTCCGTTTCAATTGCTAGGTTGTCTTTGTATTTAAACTGATTTTTAAGAAAGTGTATATTTCTTCACCTTAAAACTATTCTCTACCTTTCATCTCACAAATTATAATGGGTGATGGGTAGGAACTGGAAAACAGAAGGCTCTGCTCTTTTTTTTTTTTTTTAGAGCTCTTCTGAATAGCTGGAGAGAATAGCTGGATAGCTGTAATCTTTTGGAAAGAATAAAAATTCATAAGTGAATAGTAACATCTCAATTTTTACTTAATTAACAGAATTCCCAAATCTGAAAAATGCCATCTTATCCTAATTAACATGTTCTTTTGTAAAAGAACACTTGCTGTAAACCCTGAGGTGAGAAAGCCATCAGATGTTTGGGGGCTTTTTTGTTTTCCTTTTTTTTTCTGGAGGCGAGTTCTCAGCAGATATTGAAAAAATATCTCACATCATAAGTCTTGAAGGTGAAAATGGTATTTAAAAATACTGCTTCTCTCCACTTATCTCACCATAATCAAATTTTATCACAAAGCATAGCAGGACCCCCAGAGAATTGAAGTCTCAGATCTGGGATGTGGTTGTAAGTAGGAATCAGCATAACTGAAATGAGTGGGAGAGAAACAGGAGTGTAACCTGATGGACCAGAGATGTCAGAGGTGATTTCACCTGCCGACTTCTCATCCCATGGCTTTTTACAGTGATTGTAATATTCCTGGTACATACAGTCTATGAATATGATCACTTGAGAGATAGGTGAAGTATAAATCAATTCCAATATGATAGAGGAAAAAGGAAATTAATACAGCTATGCTTGGGGCATTTGTTACTGTTAGCGAAGCTGCATGCACTTGTGTCACACGAGGGTAATCTGGCTTGCACTTTTATATTATCTGGGGAAATCTCTGAGCATCATCCAGTGGAGGTTTTGATTGACTTATTCTGACTGCATAATATTCAAAACAGTCATTTAAGCAAAATCTTTTATTTTTGAACAGCAGCAACAATAGCAAAGCTATTGCTTGTGACCTGTCTGCAATATTTTTGTGGAGAGTAGTATGCTCTAGGCAAAGTGAACTGCAGGACTGGATGTACCTCATCTTTGAGGTAGCTCCAGGTTAGATTTGCAATTTTCAAGCCGAACTCTCTGTTTCTCAAAAACAGTATGATCATTGGATCAGCTGCTGCCTTGCTGCACTGTCCTGGGCTACCATGAGTGTGGAGCATTTCCCACTATTTGAGGTCTTTGAATTGAATGCAGGTAATCAACTATCAACATCAGTGGATCACACAGGTTTTTAAGTAATGACTGGACATTGTTTCGAAAGAGATACTATTGTCCAAATCAATTTCAGAGCAATAAAATAATTTGGGAGTGGTGCAGCAGCTTCTACACTAAATTTATTGGCCTATGCATAGAAATTAGAGTAGATGAGAATTTCTCTTTCAAAGTTCAGGAACTATTAATATACCCTAACTATTGTAGGACAGGCAGAGGTCCGGTAGTTAATCCTGAAAAAAGCTGGTAGTATGAAGTTGCTCCTTGATTCTCAGTGGCTGTTAGTAGGAGATTCCAGGTTTCTACATATAAAAAAAAAAAAAAAAGATTATGAACCTACTTTATTTGTAACAAGTAAAATATATTAAAAGTATAATAAAATGCATCTTCTTAATGTAGAAGCCCAGAAAAATAATTAAAGAAAAAGCATAATTTATAGAAAGGAAACAAGGGGACAGAAATAAGATAGGATATGTGGACCCAACAACAGTCATATTTTTTGGTGAATCTTTGTGGAACTGAACAAGGAAAATCCTTAAAAATATGGAGAGCTACGCTGAAGGAGGCACTCCCTCTGACTTTGGTGGGAGGTCACTCTGGTGATAGGATGGAGCTGAATCTCTGAATGGCGTCTTGGTGATGAACTGAAAATCTGTGTGCTCTGTTTTTCTGGTATAGCATGACTATGCCAGAAGCATAGTTATGTTTTATAGGAAAGGAAAATAGAGAGTTAAAATGAAAAGTAGTAGTATAATCTGCTGACTGTCTAGATAAGTAGAAAAACTGGCAGCTGTTGAGAAAGTAGTGTTGTACTAAGAATTTTGGTGCTAATTACAATTGCCTGTGTGTGTATACTAAAATTATGGTAAATGAGTGGTGATGAGTAGACTTCATGATATAAACATGGTGTTCCGAATGTGCAGTTTGTTTAAAATGCCATGGTTTCAAGGAAACATGGAGCAATCCTGCCATGGACATGCCTAATATAATTGTAGAGAAAGGTTACATTAATAATGGGCAATTGTTCTCTTAATTTTTAATTTTTAATCTATTTCTTATCTTTTTGATTCATATATTTTTCAAATTGGATATAATAATATCTATTTTGCTTTTTCTGTTCCAGCGAATTCGAGAACTAGAAGATAAAATAGAACTTCAAAAGAGGCAACTCAAAGAAATTGAGGAAAAGGTAAATAAATGCCTGGGCAATGCCAATAGATTTTTTTTTTTTCCCATACTAATTTATTTTTCTCTATTGTATTAATGTTAATAGTACTTAACCTAATATCACAAAAATCTATTTTAAAACAACGTAAAATTTGGGTTCAAGTCCTTGCTGCATGAAATGAAGCTCTGTCCCTAAGCTGCTCAAAATTATTTGCTATCTGGTTTTTCTATCAAGTACAGAAAGGAACCAAGGGTTCTGGAAAGACACTGGACTAGAAGGAGGAGGATCTACTGTGGTTTAGATCAAGAAACAACATAAAGATTTATCTCTGACAGAATCAGTTAGCTCAGCCTTGTTCTTTGGATAACATTGATTTGCAAAGCTTGCAAGTACTGAAAATTGAAACAAAGTTGATGAGGTGCATGTGGCGAGCTCTACAAACAAAAAATATTTCTCGCTTTAAGATAGAAACAAGTTCCAAATTAATATCCCAGATCCAAATTTTCTCCTTTTTGAAGAAGCTCTGAGTGAGGCTTAGGACAGCAAATGTATTTGGGTCACCGTGGTCCCAAGCAAGAGGTTCCTGGCCTGTGAGCTCAAGTGTTTCCCAGGTCTGTGGATTTTAGGCTGTTCTGCAGGGCATGGGCTGATAATGGGGCTTTCCCTAAGCCCTAGAAAAGTGATTTAGTTATGTTGCTTTTGCTAAACCAGTGCCTAGACCCCAAGACAAGTCACATCATCTCAGGTTCATTTTCTCTGTTACATATGGATACCTAATCCTACTTACACCTGCTGCTGAGAGTAGAGAAGTCAGTGTTTTCAGTCAATTTTTTTTTTCTTTTGGGATCAGAATGAGGTAAAAACACAAGAGGAAGGCTTTTGGAGGACTCTGAATGGGAGTTGGAACTGGTCAATGGGGTTTGCAGAACTGAGAGAGGCTTTGGGGAGCAGCTAGCTGGATGTGGGAAGGTTTCTTCCTCACCCTTCACTAATCTCACTGTCCCTTCATTGCTCTTAGGATGTGGCAGTCCTCCCTGTGTCACCTTCTGGGGGTATTACACTTTCAGCAGCTTCTCCAGTTCCCTCAGCAGCTTCCTTGGCCCCTTCTGCTCCCGCAGTAGTTTTCCCTCTGCAGTACTTCGTCCTGGACTTTTTGAACTGTGGAATCTGGCTGGGTTTGTTGGAAGGGCCAGGAGAAGAGCTGTGAGAAGCTGGGCTACCTGCTGCTTTTGCTAATTGTCCCTTTACATTACCCCCACTACTCCCTGGCTGGGGATAGTCTGTCTGCATCCATTGGGAAGGCAGTGGTCCCCATTTCCACTAGCAGAGAATCACAGGCAGTATCCACCCCTTAAAGGGCTCTTCTGCCTTTGCCCTCTTCTGCCCCGGACCACTTCTATACCTGAAGCTGTTCCTGCCTAACAGCCGGCGATGTCTAAGATGCTACAGTCAACTCCTGAAAGCAGAGAAACCTTGAAGGATAGGTGATACCTCTACATGTTATTTATTGCAAATATTAGTGTTTGTCCACCTATTCTAAAACATCAAAATCTCTAGACGTTGCTATTGCCAGAATGTAAACCTTTAACGCATTGCCATTACAGTTTACAGAGTAGGTATTGGATTAGACATGCTGCTAATTTTGAAAATGGAAGATAGGATTATCTGTGCTGGTTCGTCAGTCAAATGGATGGGGAAAAGTATTGGAAAAGAAACAGCTTAATCACAAGCTTAGCAGAAAGCTGGTAATGAGTTAAAATGATTAACGTTCTCCTTGCCTTAATGTTACATTAGCAGGAGACCTCAAAAAAACTTCATCATTTTCTATTAACCTTCAACTCCTGGATGGGTGGAAGGCTTCCTTCTATCTATATTTCATTTGAAATTTTTTTTCCTGGGGATTAAATCCCATTCTGAATTTGACTGCCTGAAGGAAGATTGTGTCATCAGAGAATCAACGAATGATATACTTCTACTTCATTGTTCTTCTGAAGGTTTAATATGTCAGTGAGTGCAGACTGACACCTACATGCCGCTGATACCGAGCACAATAATTTCTTGCGGAGGGAAATCTTATGCTTTGAAGGAACAGCAGTATTTATAGCTGAGCCTCGTTGCTGGTTGTAGCTAAGGGCAATGCACCACTTATAGTTACTGTGTCATGTGTATGGCTTTTTATTTTCCTCTAGGAATGGATTAAACTTTTAAATTTATGTAAAATTCTGTCAAATCAGAACATAAGGAAGACAATACTTTTGCACTATAGATTCTTCAGCAAACTGTCCTGCTTCTCAAGGCTATACAAAAGAATAACATAAAATCTCAGTTTTATTCTACAAGTTGATGGATGAGGAAGTACTGTTTAAACATGTCATGCTTTTCTTATAACAGATTTTCTACCACTTAAGTTGCATTTAGTTTGTGCCCTTGGCTTGCTATGTCTTGGTTCAGGAAAGCTTTCAGGTGTGTAATTATAAGTACTTGCTTAACTGAGTCACAAAGCCAAGCGTAATATTTCTGAAGTTACATAACCACAAATGTTACCATTTCTAAAGCTGCCCTTAAATACTGAATTTTGTACCCTGCTACCTGTTTTTAGAGTAAGTTTGGTGTACTGTATCTCTCTTTCAGATCAACAAAATTAATATTGATGCAAGACTAACTGCTGTAAAGTAATATCATTGGATTTCATATTACATATCTTATATCTTTTTTCTTTTCTTTTTTCCTCATTTTCTTTTGATCTTATGTTATAGTTTTTGTTCCTTTTTTTGTTTTTTTCACTAGCATTCATTCTGTGGCCTTGATGACACAACTGAGCCAAGACATGTGGTTGGTATTCTTTATATTTCTCTGTACTCAATTTTTAACTCTTAGATTTTGCCATATTTTGAGCATTGTCTTTGTAAGACTGAAAGCATGGCAGAGGGTATACTGATTTTACTTACTGAGAGAGGAAGAGTCACCTATAAAATCCAACTTGGCTACCTTCAGTTACCTTCCCAGACTTCTGCAGAAAGCCATTGGGTTTTCCATGAGAACTGGTTTTGCATTCTAAGATACTGCTCTAACTGCAGTGGGTAATTTTCAGTTCTGCAGAGCAGGTACATTTTGTCTAAAAGTTCAGATATTGCTGTATGATCCTGCCTTCTGTTGTGCCAGATGGAGAGGTGGTGAACACTGTTTGGTTTTCAGTTTTGTTTTCTAAAAAGCCCTGTAAGCATCGTCATCCATACAAAAAAGGGGTTCATTTTACTTCCTCAAGATCCTTGAAGCCATGAAATAACTTGGGAAATATTAACCTAATCTCCCTTTTATGAGGTGATGTGAAAGTTGCAATGTGACTGACCCTCCATGTGCCCCTGCAACGTGGAAAGAGCAAGGATAAGAAACCTCCATGTCTCTCTCTTGAGACACTACCATCAGATTTTCCACAGTGTCCTGATCCTTTCAGTTCAATGCAAAAGACAAAGTGAATTTCTTCAGCTAGAGCAGGAGCTATAGCGGCAGTGCTCACCTTTCACACAGAATAAGAGGGAAATACAATTTAGAAAATCGGTCCTAGCCTTTTTCCCTAGAGCAATGCAAGTTGCACGCTGCCTTTCAGTAAGGATAGTAACTCAATTACCTGCTACAGGATCAAACCATGGTTTAAAACTATTGAATATTTACACAGTATTTTTGTTGTTGCTGTTGTTTTGTGTTTGGTTGTGGTTTTTTTTAACTGAAAATACACAATGTTTTTACCTTTACAATTTTTCCAAGTTTTTTTCTTCTTTGGAATGTGTTGTGAATTATGTTCATGGAATCTCCTTATAGTAGGAGATGTGATTAATCAACCCCTTTGAAACTGCTATCAAGTACCATATGATGAAGAAGCATGATGATAATAGTTACCCAAAAAAGCTATTATATTTACCTTACACTGAGCTTGAAACAGTGTTTTTTTCTGCCCAGATCACAAGTACTTTTGAGAAATCAGACCTGTATTATCATGGGCTCTTTTGGGGATTTATTCAGCTTGCGGTACATTCAGTTATCATCTTTCTGTTGATGCTCTTGGGAACTGCCTCCAGTCTTTCATTACTAGCGTTGCTGCATGTGTTTTATATTTTACAATAAAATTATGTTAGATACAGATGGGTGGAATGTAAGCCAAGGGTATTATTGATTTTTTACAAGTGCAGTATCTTTCTTTTGGTTGCTAGATGACTGTTGAAAATCAGTTGAAATTAGGAAATATTTTTACTGCATTTTGAGCATTCCTTCTGAAATTTCCTTTATTTTGTCAAAAATTGAGCATATGCTTACAGAGATGTGTTTAAAGAAAAGAGAAGCCTTGTGGTACACTATTCACCTTACGACAGTTTGAGTTGAATTTTCTGTGGAGATCGGAAAGGACAGATGCTATTTTGGTTAATATAAGTTTGAAAGAGTAATGTTAAAGGAAGTCAGCAAAATATTGTCTTTGGAGTTTCATCCAGTGTTTTTACTCCAATCTTGGTTAGAGGTGCTAACATCTGGATGAACATACTTGTTTTTAAATACTGTGAAAAGTATACTGGCCAAGTTTAGAGACAATTTATAAACATTCTATAAATTTAGTGAGATCACCAGCATTTTTAAAATTTCATTTCAAACATTTTGAAATACTGTTAGTTCAAAAACTTTTACGAGTTCAAGGCCTAGGCCTGATCTATAGGCTTCCGTGCTGATACAGCTGATGATAGTTTTATAGGTCCTCTTTGGAAAAAAAAAAATTAAAAAATTACAAGTATAATGGGTCTCCAGAAAATACATCGTGCTGATATAACCTGCTATTCCTCCTTTTAATAACAACTGTTTAAGTAGTTAAATTCAAGGTTGGTGACAAGCATTTTGAGAGAATAACATAGGGATAATGGCTGTGTAGTCACATAGTGACTCAACTGTCACCTTTGTAGAAGTGCAGATCATACAGGGGTGCTAGTATGGAGGGCAATTTCCTTTAGTTCATCTTGCCAGAGGTGAGTCTGTCTCTGATTAATGTAACACAGCAAAGCCTATTTTGAGAGTCTTAACTATAGTTGGACTCTTGAACACTGTTCGTTATTTCAAGGCAAACCAGGTGATGTACTGATAGTAATTTTGGTTCTTGTTATTTTGAAGATAATATAAAACTTTTAGGAAGAGATTGTGGTGTCTGTGAATTTAGGGCTGGATACCGACACTTATTTTTAAATTAATGTTATCTATCTAAAGCTCAGAAGACTTTTTCTTTTTTTGTTGTTGTTGTTTTCTTTTTTGTTTGTTTTTTTTATTTTTATTTTTATTTTTATTTTTGGTTTGTATACAGGTTATTAAAAGAAACTATGGAGTGAACAGCTGAGTCCACGTGCAAAAATACAGAAAATATTTATTGAGCAGCTTTAAATTGGTGCATTTTTTTTCATAAAACAGTTTGCATAATACTTGAAGCTGCAAAATATTTGAATTTAAAATTAGAGATTTTTTTAAAGATATAGCTTCAAGCTGGAATGATTTGATAATCAAATAAGGACCAGCACATCATAAACACAGTAAAAAAATCTAAGCAGAATTTACACTCTTACACCAATCAAACACTGGGAAAAATACAAGTGCAATTACTGGCTGCTATGTGAACTGTTACCTATCAAATGGTTTTCTTACAGTACTGAGATCTTTGTCTCCATACTGCATGCTTTCAACAAATGTGGTTTGCATTTCACCCAGGAAACACAGAATCTCCTTTTTAATATCTACATTAAAAAAGCTAAGTGTTTGACAGTAAGTTCTCTATAGTAAATAGCTGACAGGAAAAAAACTGTCCAAAGTCGGAAACACGTAAACTTTTACAACCCCGTGGTGGTAAAATTGATATTAAATTTGTAAGTTGGAAATCCACAGATGGAGAAGAGATAGGTTTTGCAGAAAGGCAAGATGGTAGATTGAACTAAGAAAACTTTGAAGTGGGTAAGAACTGCGTGGGAGAAATGATTTTTTGAATGTTTCTTGAAAATTAAGGCAATAACTTGTAAAGATAGCACTGGGAGAATGGAAGATGCCAAGGTGGCCTGAGAGGTCAGGAAAAGAGAATGCATGAGTTGCTGTGCTCAGTTATCTCTTCAAGAAGAAAGAGGGGCTTGAAGAAATGGGTGTGCAGACAAATGTGATAAGGAGAAATAGTTAGAAATAAATATTTGGAAATCATGACATCCTCCCAGGTGAAATGAAAAAATGTTGACATTAGCTACCAGGAAGCAAAAATGGCACAACCTCAACCGTCAGAGGTAGATAAACAGTCAAGGACGTTGACCACCTGAACTGCAAGAAAAGTTTTGAGCAAAGCACAGATTGAAAAAATGAAAGTTGAAAAGAGTTGTTTAAGTTGGAGAATGGTTAGAAAATTCAAACAAGTTAGGCTTTTCTTTCAAAGAGGGAAAGGCAAATTGTTGTTTCAGAGCTGGAAAGGCAATATGAAGAAATAGATACTTTTCATTATTTCCAGAATGTTAAGGCAAACTGAAAATATTAAGAGCACAATATCAAAAGACAACTTTCTCCTCCCTCACATTTTCTTGAAAATCATCTTTGTGTTAAAAGGGCTATATAGAAAGCTACAGAGAAACAAGCCTGCTCCCATGAACACACTGAACTCCAACATGAATACAGAGTGGAATAAGATGGTTATGATAATACATCACATAAAATGGAAATTTTTATTGAAAAAATAACACAAGGCAAAGAATGATCAAGGCAGCACAAAGAAAGCTGAGGAAAAGATTTGTCATAGCAAAACAATGTCTCACTGTTGAAGGTGCAGGAATCGGCCTGAAAAGAAGCCAGTTTTCTCAGGTAATTTTTAGGCTCTGAAGTAAGACCACAGATGTACTCTCCACAAAGAATCACCAGACAAGATCATTTACCTGCTGAAGGAGCTGAGGAGCTCCACAATATTAATTCAGTCAGATGCAGCAAGCTGAGGCATGTGTGAGGGTCTGAATAACTGTTTCCTGGTACAAAGCACAATTTAAATTGGAAACAAGGATCATGCAGAAGTTTGGAAACTTGATCCCCAGAAGAATGTGTTGTTTACAATGTATTGTTCAACAGGAGCAAGCATTTATAGAATGTGTTTACAAAGAGAGATTTTTTTATGCTTTAGTTAAAGCTTTTAGTGGTGTGATGACAGAACGTGGAAAAATGAGGTCTTCACTGCAAAAGGAAGAGTTTTGGCATTATTCTAAAGAGAAGGACCACAACGGGACATAAACAGAGCTTAAGATAACCAAACCAGGTGCTGATGAAGGAACAGAAATTGGAAAGTGTGATTCACTTGGCAAAGAATCACTCTTTCTTCTCATAATCATAATTTTGCTCATCACTACTTTGGAAATGAAACTATAAGCACAAACATGGGATGGTCAGAGCATGTGGCTGCAACGGTAAAAGCACTGCAGAGACAGGAGATGGTCTTGTTATAAAACAGAAGGTATGAGCAGTTTTGTGTTCTTATTTTTTATGTGATCTGTTACATTGTAATTCACAGGTGACTTTTTTCTCAAAGAAACTGGCTGATTCGGGTGACATTTTCCATGACAGTCATGTTGTTTTTATTCTGCACTGAGCTAGCAGGATTTGTAGTGTTGGAAAACTGAGTATGTCATTCCAGTCTTACTATCCATTGCATATTGGTATTTATTGTAGAGCTGGGAGCAGGTACAGTGTGTTAACTGACTACATTCAGTCCATGCAAGATGCTGGGCCTGATTTTCACTTTCTGTGACAGCTTTTAAATCATCTATCC